ATTCACTTCCGTGCTTATCGCGAAAAAAATCCACACATTCAATTGTTTTATATCGATTCACTTGCGATCTACAACTTAATTTATAGCACTGTACGGCTATTTTGTTTCTTTATACCGTTTATTATTTGAATCTTACCGTCATATGGGAAAACACAATGGTTTATGAACGCTCATGAAAGAAAAGGTTCGTCGCCTTACCAGTCAAAAGATTACATTCGATATTTCATTTTTTTTTTTCAACCATTATCAAGGCATTCTAATCACATGGAAAAATATATAAACTTAATGCGCTTATTTATTGACCGTAAAAAAAAACGAATCGCCCGCCCAAGCACACATTATCGCACTTTGCATTCAATTGCAAATATTTCCATGCCACCCATCAAGATTGATTATATTCAACAATTGTTGATGTGTAGTTCCGCGATCGTATCGATTCATTTGGCACGGTATTATCATTGGAAATGCATATAATTTGACTCAATAAAATCACGTGGCCCCTTTTAAAACGCATTGTCATGCAATTTTTGCTTACGTTTTGAATCATATCGATTAGATAGTAGCCAATTTCAATTATGAAGGACAGGTACAATCATTCGCTATGCTTTGCTATTTCAATTCTGCAACGCATTGGTAGGGTGATCTTTTGATTTGTTTTATGTGTTTATTATTATTTTCATGTTAGAGTAAGATTACGTATTTTACCGCAATCTTTAAAATATTTATTGATGATATTTTGATTTTTTTTTTCAATTAAAAACAAGACAAAATTCTTTCAATCATGTTTATGGATCCCTTTATGGTTCAGCCCAGCTCAAATTTGATTTGAGCCCAGCAAATGTACAATTCGTTCGTAAAATGTCAATATATACCTAAATTGTGGAATCGGCAGAAAAAGCACCAAAAGGGCAATCAAATTCATGCATTCGCTTTATCTTTGATCATTGCAAAATCGCCAAGGAAAGTCATTTGATTCATTTTTGAAAACCTTCACCAAAGAGACTTTTGATTTAATCAAAGTTTGTCTGTTCAGTTTTGCTTTGCGTTTTTGTTCATTTTCGGTACTAAAGATACATTTTGGATTTTTTGTCCAACTCCATTTTGAATTCAAACACGTTCAAACGCATTTCTTGTACAAGGATAAATCCAATGAATATCTTATGGCTTTTCTACTTCAGCCATCGGGTCTTAATCGTGGATAGTGGTTATTGAAAAATTAGGATGAATAATTTGGTTGCCGGAAATATTTTTAGAGTGGGTGTCTTTGAGATGTCAAAATGATTTAAAGAAACAAAAATAGAATCAATGATACGAAGTTATTACGAACCATTTTTTTCCTAATAAAAAACTGGTTCAAAGGGTGGTGACTTTCAAAAACTCAACGATGAATGTGTGGCGTGCATAAGTTTCGATAAATGGGCATAAATTAAAACGGAACGAAACAAGTTGTTCAACTCGTCGAATACCGTAACAAGTCAATTGTACGTGGTTCCGCTGTACAACACCCAGGTAATCAACAACAGTGAATAATTTTATTTAGAGAGAACCGTTTACTGTGCAAAAATTGTGTGCACGCGATCGCAAAGCTCAACTGGCCAACCAAATGATAACCTTGATATTGACCAGTAAAACGTGTGTAAAGTGTTCGGTATGACTTGAATAATTACGCATTCGATGAGTCCAATTCGATTATGCGATACCGATCAGACAAATTTTTTGCAGTAATTCTCTAATCTTTTCCACGATTCATCTGCTCTACTACTTCTCAATAAGAATGTTTGAATGCGTATCTTGATTATTTATAACCATTCATTAGCTACTATGTAGAATGTATTCTAGCTGCAATTGACTTAAGTGCAAATTCACGCGCGTATCCAATAACTTAAAACACGATTCAAATGCATTTAATTTCATGAAAGCGGTTTTAGCTCCAATCTCACATGTTTCAGTAAGGTGTCGTTGGTGTATAATGCATCAAGGTTGTGAGCGGTCATGTGCTTTGTCCATTCGTGCAATTCAATCGATTCCGCAGACAGATGTCAAATTAATTAAAAACCTCTGAACTTTTGCTACAATTTAAATCCAAATGTTGAACATCAAATAAAACATAAAATCGCTTCCTTATGGACTTTTGTATTACTTGCTCATTTTATTCAACGCTTTTTTCGCTTTTCATACACTCTTTGTTGTTCTGTTTACAGACACCATAATACAGACATCGTAACAAAGCTGATATTTGTCTGTTTAATCGGCTTGAATCGGAAGCACGTAGCAGTGGCATTTTCACTTCAGTTGCAAATAAAGATTAACCTTTTTGATTTAAACTGCCAATTCATTGGGTTGGAATTTCATTTTACATTTGGAAATTGATAACTCATTCCATAAAATTGTCGGTCATTCAATTTGTTTTCTTTTATCTTTAACCCTCTAGTGCATACGTGAACTTATAAGGTTGGTTCATTTAAACCTTTCTATAATGCGAATCATTGATTATGTCACAAAATAATGTATGACAGTTTTCGTTGGAGAACACTAGCGCACATTTCTTTCTCATAAAAATTTTGTGTGCGGTCAACCAGTGTCAAGTTATGACAACATTTGTACAAGAAAACGACGTTTCCGTAAAAATAAATTATTTTCGTTTCGTGTCCTGTTTTTGAAACATGATTAAATCGAATAAAATTATTTTGTTGACCTCAGGAATTTTTTTTCTGCTTATTTGGAGTGTTTTTAACCAAATTCAATTCAAGTTCAATGATTTTTTGCAATTGTGCAACATTTGTCCGTCAATTTGCATACTGTTCTTATAAGTACAGCCATGCAATTTGGATTTCTTTTTGTTTGATATTTTGTGTGCTTGGTTTGGTGTGGAATTTTATTTTCATTTTATTTTAACCTATTTTTATCACAAATAATCCAGAAAAAATGATATTCACGAATTCCGATGTCAACATCACTCAATTTGCAAGCTGTTCTTATAAGTACAGCTATGCAAATTCGGTTTGTTCATATACTTCGCAATTTCCATATTGGTCGTAAATGCATGACTGTACTTATAAGACCATTTTGATTTTTGCGATTTATTGATAATTCCAGCATTATACCAGATTATGAATATTTTTTTAAGTGCTTATGAGGTAAAATAAGCATGGAAAAAAATTCTCAGCTCTGTATAAAATATATGCATTAGAGGGTTAAATTATTAACAAAACACCCAATGCGGAAATTTATTTTAAGTGTTTTCTTCGCAGAAACTATTTTTTCCATAAAAATATTATTTAATCGAACTCGTTGTTATTAAATTGTTGTGCTACAATTATTTGCCCGCCGCACGATGTTCTTTCTACAAAAAATGTGGTTAAATTGGATTTTCCGTAGCGTGAATTAAGTCGTGTCTTTTAAGCATGTACTTTTTTTGCAACTCATAACACTCATAACAACTCATAGCTTCGAAAAAACGATTAATCTGAGAAGCACTTGACATCGAACGACAGTCTAATATCGGCTGAACTGTTCGAAGGACATCCGAATCATTACCAAAATTATGGAATGTAGTCGCAAAGAAGAAAAGAAAACATAATTTGTGAATTTTAGTTCGATGATTATTATCTGTAATTTGACACACCGTTGACAACTCCGAAAATTGGAATCTCCTTGATTCGTTAGTCACCGCGAACAAAACAAGATTTTCTGACTCAAGCAAGAACATCTTAGAAAACGAAATGTCATCGAGACAAATTGAGTGAAACAGAGGAAAAACAAATTTGCGCTAATTCACACTTGGATTTAGAAATTCGTTCAACTAATTATGGCGTGGTTTTGACACGTTTCTCCGGTTAGACGGAGTCAGTGACAATAAGTTGAATTGAGAAAAAACAAATAACGAAAAAAAATGACGTGGAAATTAGAAGACTTGTGCTGAGATAGACAAAAAATGGAAGATTCGACGAATTTTCAAGAGGAAATGACAATCACAAGTGATATACAGAGAGGCAAATCTTACAGAACAATATACGAAACATTCCAGAGCTTGTAGATTTCATCAAAGTTCAATTATTGTTATTTGAAAAAAAATTGTTTTTCAGCGAATTTCAACTTGTTACTGCTTTCAATTTGGTACACATATTTCCCAGCTCGATTCGTATATATAGTTGGTTGGTGTATGAAAACATATGTATCTTAACGCCATGGTGCGATTGTATCGGATTGCGGAAGGAATAACACAAGAAATACCAGCAAATATAACTAATCTTTGCAATTTGGTGCGCTTTTTCATTCTCTTTCCTGTGTAACTTGGTTGCATTGATGTAATTACATGCGAAACTCTGTTCACACGATCAATTTTTATGGGGTTTAGACGATTTATTACTTGATTTTTTTTTCGATTCGTACGTATAATCATATGACTACGAATGATAGTTGAAATGAGTTTCACCACCGTGTTGAATCACCACAACATCCAATTTATAAGACTCACATCATGATTTTCAAGATTTTATTCATCGAATGTTTTGCCCACTGAAAAATATGTTTTTCATTAATGCAAGAGTCTTAAATGCGATTAGCTTATGAGTTTTTAACACATGAATTCATTCACCCATTTATGTCTTGTAAACGACCGAAAAAAATCATAGCGAAGATGCTTCATTGACCTTGAGCGCTTAAATAGTAAGATCACAGACTTTGGTGAATGAATCACTTAACGTTTTTCTCGTTATTTAATCATCATATCACCACTGAAATCAGTTTAAAATCGTGGTAAAATTGACCCGTGCCATCAAAATTCCGTTAATTACACGTGTTTTGACGAATGTGAACCATCAATTGTTGCTGTCGAATGTGTCAATTAGTACGATTAAGATGGTGTTAATCGAATTCGTCTGCTTCGTGACAAGCACCAAACGACAAACTCGTTAGTCACAAGGTTCATTTAGTTTTGCCACATTTGGCTAACTCGATAATTTCCACTAATTTAGTAGAAAAGAAGCACTTTCACCTACCGTTTAAATTTTATTAGATGAATTTAGTCGAATCGACGTAGTTAATCAAAATGATTTGAACGATTTTCGCATAGATGGTCATTGTTGCAACGATTTGCTTTTATATTCGTAAAATGATCACAAAACAATTAAAATTTCCGATTTTTTCGCGTTGCTTTTCTGTGTATTTCTCTCTATTCGAACAATGCGCTCGAGCTTTTTTTTCTCTCACTAGATTCACAGTGTTTTGAACAAAAAATCAAAAGCAACACAATGTTAACGTTTACTGTGGCACTGCGGTTGTACTCCGAACCGTTTCTTTCGACAACTGAAGCCAAACTGAACGCATACGTTCAGCAGACATATTTGAGAAGCGCACACGGCACGGTGTACAAATGTTATTAGCGATGGCAGCGCGTGATTCCAGCAACACATAGCCAGAAGAAAAAAACAAGTTTGATTTTATGTGCAAATAGATAATGTTGGCGAGCGGTCGTATACTATGAATGGACCTCTAGTTTGATGCTTTATTGGCTTTCTTTTTGTCCGGTTCGCTTGTTAAGCTACACTCAAAGACGACCATTTTTTTCTGTCTTTGTTGTGCCGTTTGTTTATTGTTGACAACATTTTTTTTAATGGTGTTTACACTTTTTAATGGCAAAAGGAATGTAAATAGCCGACCAGCGGAAAAGATCTAGAAATAAAACTAAACGGCTCTTATGAGCATTTATCTTTGATCATTAAATTTGAAATCATTCAAATTTTTGCCTGTTTTTCAGCGGTGCATGTAATACATGCGAGTGGAATGAAGTCAGAATTAGTTCCAATTATAGCGCGGAACACGCTGGCTTTTATTTTATTATTGGAATAAATCGATTTTTTCGAATTTTTTTGCTAGGTATGTGAGATATTGATATGTGTAACGGTTAGCAATCAAGTTTTGACAAGAATAGAAAAAACAAAACGGCGAAAAGGTAAAAAAAAAAGAAACAGATAAAATACATTCTAGTGTCAAATTAAATTAAATTAATGCCGACTTGAAATATTTTCACGTTGGTCGAGAAAAATCAAACAAACAAAGCGATCACATGGCTAAGATATGATGTCTTCAAATGATTCCGCGGATGGTGCGTTAATTTTGACAGAGATGTGAAAAAATTCCGCCGGCCATAGAAAGAAATGATGGCTTAAGCAAATAAATATTTGTGCAATATTGATAAATATTTATCACAAACTATTTTAGCTGAAAATGCGCGTCAAAGTTTTCCATTCAAATTTCGAAATAATAGTTCGATTCAACAGTTCTGATTCGATCAAATTTCGACAAATCTTCATTTGGTAAAAAATAAACATAAAAATCTAATTTCGTTTACAAATATCATTGACGAATTCATCTTTATTTATCTACGTCGACATCGAAAACGTGTGTTGAGGTAAGAATATAGCACATTTTAAATAGAATGAATAAATATACATATCGCAATCTTTGTATGGTGTTACCTCATAGAGATGATGCATGAAGTGACGAAAATGTACAAAATTTGAATCAGTCATGTTCAAAGAACAGGTTGAAAACGTTTTTTGTAAATAGCAAAAAAAGAGTATAGACTCATGATTTCGTTCTATTATTTTTTGAATGAAGAACCTCGTGGTGCAATTTTATTTTAATTTAATTCATTCATGATTTCAATAATGGTAAAAACTAGGATTTTAATGAGAAAAAAAACTAAATAAAATTAAAATGTATTAAAACGACCTAGGTTCTGGTCAGCTGATGAAACAATCGTATAAATTTTCAGTCTTCCAATTATATTTTTATCCCCAAATAAGTGTATTGAATTATTTTTTATATCTGTTATAAATCACTGGAATAATTCAAATCATATCAACGAGCATAAATCTCAAATTGAAAGTCAAGCCATTGAAACATATGACCACATAAACAAAACAAAATAGCTTCATCTGCACTTTTTTCTAATACAAAGCACGCGCGCTGGTTCGTATAACCTACGCCAATAAATATTTTTTGTGTGGTCATAAAAATTGCGCTCCATATGAGCGCGCAAGAACGTAGTGAAAGCGAATGTTGTTTCTTTTTTTATTTATCAGTGTAATGCACATCATATGTTCGGGGAGAGTAAAAAATAAACCGCTCGAGTGGTTTTGCCAACAAGTCGACCATTTCCACTCAACTCAATCCCACCTGTGGGATGTGCGATGTCGATGACTTGAGTGAAATAAACAGGAAAAAAATGTGCTCAATTTGGCGCGAGTGTTTTTCTCGCTTATCAAAATACGCAGCTTCAATAAACGTGTGCACGCGCTACCATTTTTTGTTTACTCTGGTTAATTGCGACTTTTGCGGCACACAAATCAACGCTACCTGTTTGGTTTTTCTAATGCGCATTTGCCACGAACCGTGTCAATCTTAGAATTTGAAGAGGAACTATGACTGCTTCTGAAAAACTGAAGCGACTATTGGCATGAGGAAATAGTATAATGTCTTTTCATTGTCATTTCAACCTTCGGAACGAGAGCAAACGTTCTATCCATCCTTGCTCAAGTTTAGCTGTGGTTGTGCGCACACACATCCACACATTAGAACGCAAATCTTCCGAAAGTGTGCAGAACACGCAACGAGATGTATGACGTAATGCTGTGCTGCGACTGTCGAAGCCATCTAGCGGCTGAATGGAATACGTCAAATGCGATGACATTTCAAGAGACCATTTTTGTCGATGGTTGAATTTCGTAAACCAAACGTAGTATTCTAGAAGTTGCAGACAGTTTTTCTCAGGTTATATTTTGGAAAATGCCAGACGATCATCATCATAATGAGGGTGGATGTGTCCACGAGTCCGCCGATTCGGATTATTTGAAGGAGATTGGCATTCAATACAGTTTATACACGAAAATTGACATGGAAAACTTGGAATGTCTAAATGAAAGTACCGATGGATCTGGCAAATTAGTTTTCAAATCGTATGAAAATCGGCTGAACTTTGATAAGGTGAGAGTTTTCATTGGGTAGCATCCATTTTGTTAACAGTTTTGAAAATGTTGAAAAATTATCATTTTTTTGACAGTTTGTTGAAAGTGATGCCGATGAAGAGCTTCTATTCAACATACCATTCACCGGCAACATCAAAATCAAAGGACTTACTATTATTGGTGCCAATGACAATTCACACCCGAAGAAAGTGAGACTGTTCAAAAATCGACCAAAGATGTCATTTGATGATGCATCCTCGAAAGCTGATGAAGAGTTCGATCTCACACACAATCCAACCGGCGAACTAGAATACCCAATCAAGTAAGATGTCATTCGATTAATGCTCAGTCGAATTACTTGACTCCAGTTTCTCGACTCGAGTATCTCACATTTCTGATTTTGACTTGATCTCAAATCACATTTGAAGCCCGAACCGATTAAACCAACATTTTTCTCCATTTCCAGGCCCGTTCAATTTTCATCAGTACATCATTTGACTCTGCACTTCCCATCGAATTTCGGCGAAGACAAAACTCGCATCTACTATATTGGTCTTCGTGGTGAATTCTCTCCAGCTCATTATCACGGTGTTACAATTTGCAATTATGAATCTGCACCAAATGTATCCGATCACAAAAACAATGTATTCGACTCGGTTACCCATCGAATTCAATAGAATCGATTCAATTTAGCAGAATAAACGAGCCATTTTTTTTTTCATTGTAAAATGTTTCATGTTTTCTCACTAATTTTATTTTCACTTTTAAAAAATACAGTATAGCAATTGGTTACACATATGATATCAGTTTCATCGCAGGTCAAATACAGCATAGTTTAGATGTATAATTTAAATTCTAATGATAAAATTTTTATTCAAATGTCTAATGTTAATATGATAGTCGCTAAAGTTTTTTTTTCTTCTTTCTTGTTGTTGTTGTTGTTGTGTTATTGCGGTGAATTAACAATTATGGGGTTTGAGTCACTTAAACACGTACGAGCGTATGAAAAACCAAATCTACAGACTTATTTCTTTGGCGGTTCAATCATAAATTGCACAGGAAGTGCACGTGGTGTGACGATTTCATCGTCATCTTCCTCCTCGTCGTCGGCATCATCGATATCGTGATCAAAGTCACTTTCGTCAATGTTTCCACCTCGTTCATTCAACACGAAAATGTCTTTGCCTTGTTCAGCGGATTGAGTCACGGCCGGAACTGGTTCGATGTCGGCATCTGGGCTTGTAGTCAACTTGAATGTGGTTGGAAGGGCGGTTGATGTTGGCAAATCGGATGCTTTTACCATTTTATCAAATACCTCGGGGTAGAGGAGGTCATCAATGTAATACATGGTGCCCAAGTTGTACACAAATACTTCTGATTCCACGATGTGAGCATGATTCACAGTCACATTACCTGGGGAAATAGAATAAATTAGTACGTACTTTGTTTCGGAAATTATTCTAACAAGTGATTCATCAATATTTTCGCTTCATTTTTAAAATCCATTCAAAATCGATTTCTACCTGCAAGTCGTTGGATTTTCAAGCCAGTTCCGCCAATCGATTCGAATACTTCATCGTGTTTCAAGTTTCGATCATAGAGTCGCCCTTTGATAAAGTGATTCAAAAGGAATTTAATCGCTGTTTCCGATGACATATCATCCTCAGTCAATCGACCCAAACCGTACTTGTTGAATGCATCGTCAATTGGAACGAAGAATGTATAGTTTGCACCAGGTACATACTGAGCGATTTCAGCATTGTTTAAAAATCTGCGAAATAGCGAAATATTTTTTGATTGGACTCGAAAGAAAATTGTAAAAATAATAAAGAGACTAAGGACAAAAAAGAGAAACAGAACATTTTTCAAGGAATTACTCACTTCGTAACAAAGGTGAAACGTGGATCTCTTTCCAATGCCAAGAATGAGTGAGACAAAAACTGAGCTCCGAACCATGGGAAGGCCAACAGTGGCGGAGTTTCTTTGTCTTTGTGCATCTAAAAGCGTGAAAAACATAAACATGAGATTTATAACGAAATTTACAAGAGAAAAATCCAGAAAAACGAGTTTAGAATATATTCAGAAAAGGAGCGACAAATAAGAATGATAAAAAGGTTAAAACAAAAAGAGTATATATACTTGATGTAATCGTGATACAACCGCTTCGGATACAAAGAGAACTTCGGAAATCAACAGCACTTGCGATCCGTCTGGAAGTGTGTAATCGGCCGTAATTGTTACGTTGTTAACCGTTGGAGCTGTAATCATATTTTTTCAAAAAAAAATAAATCAAAATTCAATTAAATTTCAAATGATATGCCAAGTTTCTGTGTCAAGAAACGTGCTTACGTAAGTTTCTAAATGTCACATTTTCACCGCCCATCGTTTTGACTTTGGATATTTCAGTGGCTTTCTTAATGTCTTGCATTCGAATCGGAGCTTTCAATTGGAGAAAATGATTCCGCAAAATGTTCTCTGTAAATTCAGACACACTGAATGGATAGAAGCCCCAATCGATTGGATGCCATCTTTGGAATGCGCTATCCATCGGAATCAAAATTGTGTAGGCTTTTTCTGTTCGATACGAGAAAAAAAATTAAAAAATTTGGAAATCACATCAAGTCTTTTGATATCAAAAATGCATTTATAGTACCATCAACCAAGTGCGACAGATTGGTCTTCATGAGAAAATGTTGGAATACTTTGGTTCCAGTTTTCATGTTCATCAAAAATGTGACGAGAGCATTTTGTTTGAGTTCATATTTGGATGGCAGGACTTCTTCTTTGGTGGCATTTTTCCATTCGAGTTTTTGCGGTTCATTGTAGCTAAAATTATGGGAATGGGTTCATTTGGCCAAATTAACTGACTGACTCCAAATTGCTAATCAATATCAAAAATGCATACCGATTGTTGTCATGAATGTTCCGTTTCGAGAACAAGGTTCGTTTGTCACCAAGAACACCATCAATGTAAATAACAGAGCATTGTTTGTTGAGCGCAGCTGTTCGGAGTATTTTAAAATCATTCAACGACCAAATGCTCTCGTTGTATTTGTTCAAATGTGTGAATTTTATCAAGTGATTGTTTGAGTTTCCATACAAATCTTCTTCGTTGAATGTTGTGAACGCTTCGCCAGGAATGAGGTGTTCGAAAATGAATTCCTTGAGACGATCTTTGTTTATTGTTGATATATCCACCGATGGAACGACCACCGTAAATGCGAGATCTGTTTGACGACAAAGGACAAGAAATGGCTTTAATTAATCGATTTGTAAGCATCTCCAAGCAATTTATTGTGTCAGCTATAAATTCCATTCAATTAGAAAACTGAACACCGAGAATTTGCGATGACAACAAATACGAGAACGTATTCTATTCTTAGCGTGTTGACGGTGATTCAACTTATATAAGCGATTCGGTAGCCACAAAAATGCTTTGAATTTACGCTACTTGTTCAGCATGTGACTAATTGAAATTCCGTCCATGCATCGCAAGCCCCATTGTTGAATGTAGGTCTGAACGAACGTTTTTTCTTTTTCAAATGAGTAATGTCTCTCAAATGAGACATCGTTTGTTTACTCTATGGAACAAGGCTGTAGTATGAAATACGCAAAAATTTTAGAATTTGAAAAATGTCGAAAAAGAAATATTTGAGGAATGACCGTTGTTATAAATCGTTCAGAAAGATGAAATGCACAAATGTACGAAATTCCTATGGAATTTTAAAACACACGAACACACGCTATTCCACTATAATCATCGGAATTAAGTGTTATTTTCCGTATTTTCGCCAAAACTACCGTTCAAATAGATAATAACAGTTAGCGCAAAAATATTCAATATAAAATTGTATCACGTACGAATGCTATCGAAAATGAATTACTCTACTCACCTCTCGATATGAATGTTCGGTCAAAATTCAGATTATCCCATGCCGCAAGCAATTTGGTAAAGTATTCACTTTTGTGGTCGCCGTTACCAAATTTCAATGCCGTTAAATCGGGAATGGTTCGCGTTGCCAAGACATCTTTGTTTCTGTACAAATTCAATGTAACACCGTTGGCACTGGTTTGCGTTAAAAACCCTTCGCACAAGGTGAGCACAACCAAAATGTATTGCGAAAACTGCATGATTGTTGCAATTACGGCTTTCGTCGATTGCACTTTCTTAATGCCCATAATTCACGTTCGATTCTACTCACGTTTGTTTCGATTCTGTTCGTTTCTTTTTTGTGTTAATATTTTTTCGTTTCGTTTTATTATATTTTTCGCCTCTCGGGAGGATCGAGTAAGCGGTCGTTTTGGTTTCGACTGAACAAACCAAAATAAAACTGATATATTTTTTTCAACTTTTCTTCAACGCTTCCCAACCGTTCGATATGCCTGACTAGAGCTATTTGAAATGCGGTTTGGCTACTGCTTGGTCATTCATGTCTGTTGTGCTTATGCGATGTGTGTATTTTACTTTCCGTTGTGTTTGTGTTGCGCCAAAGCTGAAATATTAAGTAAACAAGAAATTAAAAAAAAAAACGATTATGAGTCAGGTGTGTCTCTGTCTGTTTCGACTGTGTTTCGAAGGGGGCCGTTTTTGTTCTTCTTTCAATGTATGGGCCCCCAAAAAAATACGAAACTTCATCGATCGACCACATGAACAATATGTATTCATGTGAATTGTGTGCAGTTTGAACGCGCACCGCAAAAATGCAACCAATTATACTTTATAATGTTCATACCATATAATATTAGAGAGTCGCATTTGTCTGAAATCAATAAGCTTCATGAATGTGATTGATTTATGACTCGTTTATTCATTGAGAGCTTTTCCATCATATCGTTGGATGTTCATAATATATCCAATCTATCTGATTGAAACCAGCACACACACACACACACACACACACACACACACACACACACACACACGCATTCATGGGCTCATTTGATTTTCAGATAAGACCACGATTTTCGAATTTAATTTATTAAATAAATTCCAATTCATTATTGGATAACCGCAAATTTCCATCACATACTGCCGTTTAGCGATGTAAATCACTAGCGTGAGTACCCTCTCTCTCATTCGCCAAAAAAAAACCAAACGCAACGAAAAAGAAAATAATGAACGAAGAAAAAAATACACGACTTTCAACTATTTCCAATTCTTGGAATGGTTTCTGACGTTTTCACTGTGAATCATACAAATTTTTCCCCAATAAATGACTAAATGTCTCACTTTTTACAGCACAATAAACTTACCTTGTGTGGCAGCGCAGAAACTACTTTTTCCGGATTGCTGAATAATTGATTCGCAGTTTTGACAAAAAGCCATAAGCTTTTTTGGCAAATGCATGGAACTCACATACACACGATGACGACGATAACGACAACGACAACGACAACGACGACGACGACGACGACGAAGGCACACGAGAGAGGGGTGGCAAATAGTATTGTCGAGTCCTTTCACCACTCATATGTTGCACACCAAAATATTTCCATTCCTGAATTACGATAACTTTTAATTGCGCACGCTTTATCGATCCGCAGCAGGGCTGGCACATATTTCCGATGCCACATTCCGATGCCGTTTGACGGAGCCTGTTTGAATTCGTTTTTTGTTTTTTTTTCTCACGGAGTTTTATGGCATCGGTTATGATTTGAAATTTAAATCGAATGCACGAATTGTGTGAGTGATTTGTATTTTTTATGAAGCATTTCCATTCACATGAAACGCCATGATGTAAGTTCTGGAGAATCGAAACAATTCCTAAAGATTTTTTTAATGGAGAAAAATACATTTTCCAATATGTCTGTTTGAAGAGTAGAAATAATTATTTCCGAGAAAAGAATGAGCTGTATCGAAAATCTAAGCATATTTTCAACCCATACTGTAAAAAAGTTAATTCAATTGTGATACGTAGATTTCTTTTCAGAAATCACTGCAAATTGCTAATCGCAATATCGCATGCAAGACAATAAAAATGCAATTTAAATTATGTTAACAGGTGAGTGGTGTCACATGTCATGCATGGCTTATTATTCAAAGTACTTTTCAAAATTATTAGGTTAATTAAGAATTGAGATAAAAAGAAATTCTTCTGAAATAATCAGATACGCAATAGGATTCGTCTTTTTACGTCAGATTCAGAATTCGTCGCTTCATCAACGTATCGTCATTTTGTGGAAATTGTTACTACTTTAGCTCGTAAAATTCAGTCAATCATACTCATGTACGGTATAGAGAAAGTAAAATTTCTCATTCTGACTGAGAACACGGAGTTAGAAATTGATGTCGATCTCTAATTTTTTGATTTCGATATCTGATTACAACTTACTGCGTTTTCACTTACCAATCGTCAACTTTCATTCGATTTTGATTCGTATATGCAAGAAGTTTGCTCCAATTTTTTAAATATTATATGTTGCTACGGAGGCTTGAGTTCATTTTTATGCTTGGAATTTGATTGAACAATATGAAGTGTATTCCAATCAAGCAGTTCTTCGAAAAAGAAGAGAAATAAATGGGAAAATCTACATACTCCATCCATTATCATACTCAAAAAAAATGTGTGTAGAAAAAATGGTGAATATTCGATCTCAAATTTTATTTCCATCAAGTAAAACATAATGAATATTCAATTTCCAAATTCATTCGGATTACATATCTTAAAATCAATTCTCAAAAAGAAGTCTTTATTATTTAGTCGGAAATGTGCTACTATCTAGAAAATGATTTTCTTCTGTTATTTTTTTTCTCTTCATTATTTAGGAAATTGAAACTCTCGATTCTATTGTATTAAATTGTTTGTTGTTTATTGTTTGTTCGATTACTGGATCCAAAAAGCACTTTGGCTAAATACACCTTTTCCTCTTCTCTCTATCTCTCTTTCTCATTTACTCGGTTTATTTAACGGCTGCCCTTATTATTCAACGGTTTTATTATGAGTTTCTGGATGAATGAATTCGTGTTGCTTTGATTTTATTTACATCATTCATGCGTTGAGGATTCTGTTTGCAGGACCACCATCAAAAGACTAGTCGATTAGGATTGCTTTGAATCGTGGCTGTGACTTTACTGATCAAAATCACTCGGCAGAGCATTAGCAAATACTTTAATTTGATTATCGATGATGTTGAATAGTTCCTGCGGTGATGGGATGCGTCCCGTTTCCAGTTTCGACCAAATTGGAATGTCGTTCAAACTAATTTCAAAGGCACCCGATGACACCAGCTGCAAATTAACGAGCAAAAAATGTCATTAGCAATGTTAGTTTTGGAAATGAATTTCAAACTGCCTACAAAGCTGGAATTAATGCAGAAATGTCAAAAAGATCAACACACGTAGTTACCTGAGCTTCAAGCATATTGCCAACGAAGAATACCATCATACAGGCATAAATCTTGTTTTCCGTGCACCATGTGAACCACCGAGGGATGGCTTGACCGAGTTGACCCCAAATATCATACTGCGACACAATGATCAGAATGAAAATCATTTTCGCTGCTAAAATAAATTTGGACAACAGGAAATTGATGCCAGACGGCTCATAATTAGCACCCTCAATCGATATTTGTGGATAACGCTCGGTAATTATAGTTGTATATTCTTCGAATGCTTTCCGGTAACCGCATGAATAACTAAAATATTTACAACAAAAAGCACGTATGTTGAGTGTGAGTGACGTGGTTTTATATCTTGTTTGATTAAGTGATAAGTCACCATGGAATTGCACAAGTCTTACCAGTAGAGGAATTTCATTGTTGGCCGAAATTTGGCCATTTGCGGAATTTCTTTTTCACCTGAACCGCCGCCAATAGCGAACAAACTGATTACAAAGCAAATGCAAATCACGCTACCGATTTTTGAAATCATCTTTTTTGTTTTTCGTTTTTATATTTTATTCCCTAATTCAATCGCTTAACCTTATCCACCGTGTATACTAAGTAACAACAAGAATTGATGATGAAATTAAAGCGAAAAATTCAGTGCGTTACACTAGTTTGTATTGATTGTATCGAAAATGGAATTAATGCTAAACGCACTTTGTCTACTAATAGGTATAGATAAAACTCATTAATGCAATTTTCAATTGATGTCTTATGATGACATTGGCTTTTTTGACATTCGCATTCGGTCCGTTCGCATAGACGGCGCCACTTATTTCGAACTAGACGAATTGGGGTGTTCACTGTTCACATCTGAATTTCGATTTGGTTTATTTTGCGTCTTCTTTTACATCATATTCAAATGCTCAATACACTGAAATAATCTTTGGAATTTCAAATAAAATAATTTTTGGATACGATTTTGAATAGGTATCATTTGTTTTATATTTTTCTTATTATGTAAATCTTCTGATAATCTTATTACAAACTAATATACAGTTTAAATTTGTGATTACGATACGTCTCTCTGTTAACAACAATTTAATTATTTTTTCTACCCTTGACTAGAGCCAAAATAACGCCTAATCGAATCATTATTACAACTAAATTTGAACATTAATTGGTCTGCAAATTTTGTGTTTCTAAATCTTTTTGTTCACGCTCCTTTAGCTTTTTCGTTAGCTCTTGTTGCTGTTCCAATACGTACAAATTCTCAAACTTTCTTTGCTCTTGCCGTTGAACATCCCGTATGATTCCAGCATGCAGTTTTATTCTGTAATTCATAGAGTTCAATCGTTTTAATTATAAAACGGTTTTATTGAGAAAGATGGGATTTTTGGATACCTATCGTCATGTTGCTTGTAGTAAATGAAAGAGATGATACCGGCAGTAGTGGCCAGAGACGCTACAAATGTTAGTTTGGCTGCTGTCGACATAATTTCCAAATATTCCAAAAGAATCACGCAGAATTTCTTTTTGTTCACTGTAAAAACTCTTTATTAAAAAGGCAATTCAATCTTTTTTTAGAGCAATTTTCAGCTCATCTCGCGTGAAGAATGAATACGGTTGTTTCGGGGTTATTGGATTTTGACAAGCGTTTGACGTTTCAATAGTGGTGTCACTTTGTCTCACAAAAAACGATGCCAAACGTATGATGTGACGACTAACGTCGAAACGCAATGCGTAAAATTCCATCCTAGTTTTTTTTTTAACTAAATGAAACACATGCCCTAGATATATCTTATCCTTTATTTTTCTTTAAAATCAAAGTCAATACAAATTCAAGATCGAAACTTGGAGCAAATTAATGCACGTATAAAGTGCGTGTACGGTATTGTTTTTTCTGTTTCTGTTTCTGTTTATGGTTGATTGAAATATTGTAGATCAATTCCTTAATAGCGACCTTTTCTATCACGGCTCCTTGAACGGCGACGCTCCTGACGTTCTGGACGATCCGGGCGATCTGGACGATCTGAACGTTCCCGAGATCGACGGCGTGGTGGTGATCGTGAACGACTTTTTGAACGGCGTGAACCTCGACGAGAGTAAAGATATCTGGAATAGATGGAAATGGGTTTAGTCAGAAATACAAACATGAAATGATACTTTCAAGCTTGGAATGATGCATTTTGCTCGGCATTGAGTATAAATAAAAGATACAAACCGTCGCAAGTCTCTGGAAATTGGTTTCAAGTGCATGAAATTGCAGAAACCGGATCGTGTGCATTCGCCCATTTCGTATTGACGACAGCATGCTTCACGGAAATCGGTGACTGGCGATAGTTCTGCATACACCGGACGACCACCGAACCAACGATTGTTTAGGTCTTTTGCACCGCGTTCTGCGTCTTCTTCGCGACGAAACTGTTTTGAACAAATTTATTATTATTTCTTTGTTTTTAATTCAAAAATATCATAAAATATTGAAACAATTCGATGGAGAATGATGTGTTAATCGTAAGTTGTCATCATTGACACTTGCGAATTTCACACTCACCTTAATATAAACATTTCCAACGAGATGATCGCCCAAATTGTCGCAAACATTCATTTCTTCAATTTCACCGTATTTATCTTCGCACTCAACGAATACGTCTTCGAAAAAGTTGTCATAATGCTCTTGCATTTCTTCGTCACTAACATTTGCAACCACTGAAACACAAAAAAATGGATTAAATTATGATTGGATAAGCATACGAACAGAAAGTTGTGTCAATTGAATTAGGGGGTGTTGTATACATACAGTGGCTTCCATCTGCCGATTTGGCAGAGTTTTGTGGATTCACGTATAAATTCTGTAGCAAAACGGTTTGTGAAAACGTCGGTTTGTTGTGAATACGTGAGCAGCGGTCACCGTGTCGGCAAGCACCGATTTTAAAGTAAAACGAGCAGTTAACCCTGAAAATTGAATAAAAATTGGCATAGTTTGAAAATACGTCCCCATTCGTAGCCAGCTGTCACACACAACTCATCGTTTACTGTGTGTGGAATGCTATCAACTTACTTGTCTTTTTCGGTACCGAAAATCGATGCCAAATATTCTGCCATCGTTGCAAATTGAGTATAAACTTCAAACCCGAATAGTACCTACAGTCTAATTTGATGATGTTTGGATGCAAATACCGTGAAAATTATAAACTAAAACAAACACTCTTGCTTTCGTGCCGCAAACTCACACTACACATCAAATGCTTTGCTGCCCAAAACACACAAATAACAAGCATAGCCGCAATGAGTGTGAATATGGCGGCAAATGAATTCGCATGAAGTTGATCACATTGCAATCAACTGCATAACTTCGAAAAAAGGGCTTTCGAAGAGAAAAACACACAATTTGTTACCGAAATGGAATGATTTTTTTAAATATTTTTTTTAACTTTTTTAAAATTTCAGAGAAATTTTTTGGCAAAATGATTTTTTTTCGGCTTGTAAAAATATACATAGATTTCGTTTGAATGGAACTGGAAACATTCCGAGATGACAGTTCGAATGGCAACAGCAACACCGTTCACCGTTGGCAACCCGCAAGAGGTCAACATGAGTGTTATTCATGAATTTTCGATTTGGCTTTGTGTATGTACATGTGTTCTCGACTTTTCTTGTACTTTCGAATAACAAATAAGTTTTCGAAGCGGTGTCCGCATTGAATCATTCATTACCATTAAAACTCTGGAAACATTCAAACTGTGTTTGAACAATTCTTGTGTTCCGAAATAGAATATCATAACGATATAGAAAAAAGCGCAATTGTCAAGAAAACAGAATAAACAATTTTAGGGTGAAAAATGAGTACGGATCAGGTAAGTGAAAGAAAAAAAATAATCATTTCTCCATATCGTTTGTGCAATATTCCGATACTAAAAAGAATGTGCTTAAAAGAATCAACTATAACCGGAATTGCCATAAAAGAATTATTTTACAATATTGAAACATTAATCACCGTACTTGGTGGCAATTTTTTTTTTCTCGCTATATGTCATTCGTGTACATAACCCCAGATTTTGTTCACTCTCCAGTAAATAAATTGAATTGTCATTCGATTTTTTTCGTCTCTTTCATAAAGATAAACGCATTGAAAGAAAAAGGGAATCAGGCATTGGCAGCCGAAAAGTTTGACGATGCCATCCAAGCGTATACGGAAGCCATCAATTTAGATTCAAAAAATTACGTATTGTTTAGCAATCGATCGGCCGCGTATGCTAAAGCCGGTAAATATGAATTGGCTTTGGAAGATGCGAACAAAACAATCGAATTGAATCCAACATGGCCAAAGGGTTATTCGCGCAAAGGCTCTGCATTGTCGTACATGCAAAAGTATGTGGAAGCATTCGAAGTGTACCAAAAGGGTTTGGAACTGGATCCAAACAATGCTGCATTGCAACAAGGTCAAGCCGAAATTCGCAATGCCGTTTTGGCGCAACTTATGAAAGGTCAACCGATGGATATCGATGATCCGGCACCATCATCACCAAAACCCGAACCATCAAAACCGAAACCAGAAGCCAAACCGGCCGAAGATGAAAACCTACCGGAAAACGTTAAATTAGCACGTAAAAGCAAAGAATTGGGAAATGCAGCGTACAAAAAGAAGGACTTCGAAACGGCAATCAAACACTACAATGAAGCCCTCGAACACGATCCAACCGATATCACGTACTACAATAACATCGCCGCCGTTTATTTCGAGCAAAAGAAGTATGATGAATGCATAAAGGAATGCGAAAAGGGAATTGAAGTGGGCCGTGAAAATCGCGCCGATTTCAAATTGATTTCGAAGGCATTCAGTCGTATTGGTAATGCGTACAAAAAATTGGAAAAATGGAAGGAAGCCAAAACTAACTACGAAAAATCACTGTCCGAATACCGTACACCCGAGGTGAAGACGCTGGCCAGCGAAATGGAAAAGAAGATCAAAGAAGAAGAGCGCAAGGCCTACGTTGATCCAGCCAAAGCCGAAGAGGAAAAGGAAAAGGGCAATGAATTCTTCAAAAAGGGTGAATACAGCACAGCGATCAAACATTACACAGAAGCAATCAACCGCAATCCCGATGATCCAAAATTGTACAGCAACCGTGCTGCCTGCTACACCAAATTGGCCGCCTTCGATTTGGGTCTGAAGGATTGTGATACGTGCGTGAAATTGGATGACAAATTCATTAAAGGTTGGATCCGCAAAGGAAAAATTTTGCAAGGTATGCAAGAGCCCAGCAAGGCATTGTCAGCCTATCAAAAAGCCTTGGAATTGGATGCATCAAATGCTGAAGCGCTTGAAGGCTATCGCCAGTGTTCAATGGCCGTGCACAGCAATCCGGCTGAGATTCGTCAACGCGCCATGGCCGATCCTGATGTGCAGGAAATTCTACGGGATCCAGCCATGCGAATGATTCTCGAACAAATGCAAAGCGATCCAAAAGCCGTTCAAGAGTAAGTGCATTGAACTTAGCATATTTTTGATTCGTAATGTCGTTTTACTAGTTATTAATGAGCATTTTTTTCTACTTTCTTTTCCCATTATTTCAACAGCCACTTGAAGAACCCAGAAATAGCATCGAAAATACAAAAACTTATCGAATCGGGTATCATCCAAATTCATTGAAACAAATCGCAAAAAAATTGTAGCGACTCTGTAACCAGTGATGCGTACCAAATAGAAGCGGTGGAAAACAAAAAAAAATACACAAAAAAAGGATATATATACACACAAACACAAACGGAGACTTCAGTCTCAACACCGAAACACAAATGTGAATTGAACGAGGGAAACACAGAGAATGAGGGAGAGATAAGAGATAATATCACAAGCTTAGAAATACAGCGTCAACCAATTTTTACACTTTCTTCTTAAATTGGAAACAAAATTTCGATCATTTTTGCTAATCAAAATCCATTTTCATTCTCTTCTAAAGTCGCTTTCAGTTTCATTTGTATTGCATTGTTTCTCATTCAACGGCAAAATAAAAATCTCCATATCTTGTATTCCATTCTTGTTTTTATCTATTGAAACAATAAAAATCTGCTTATTGAAGAAACAAATAAAAATGACGCATCGTAAAAACCAGTTTTGGTTCATTTAATTTTGGATTGATTTATATCACGCTCTGGGGCGTTAATTGATTTTTTTCATAGTACAATTAACGAGAACGGCTACGAAAAGCCTCGAAAAATCGAACAGTAAGTATCAGAACTTTGTCATTCGTCAAACAGTTCAGATGTCAATTTTGGCTTTTGAATGTTTTTCAGTAATTTTCACCGCAGAACTTTTAATTTTCATATGTGATTTCGACATTTTCAAATTTTCATAACAAAATATTGAAAGAAACCATAAATTTTAACCTTTTACATGCAACGTTTTGACCAATTTCTAGCTAAAAAAAATCATCTGTTCAAAAATTGCCTCCGAAATGGCATGCTTGAATCGATTTGACAATCAAGACGCCATCTGGTGTGCGTTTTGTACCGAAAAAACATATGGTTGAAAATCGAATGGTCGATTCTCAAACAAGTAGTATGTGAATGTACAGAAGCAAAGGCAGAAAAAAAAATTTCATCCAGATGATAGTAGTAGTGTAGAGGGCACCGTCAGTATATGAAAAAAAATTCAGCTCTCGAGAAAAAAAAACCTTAGCTCTTCTGAACAAAAATTTCAGTATAGGAAGAAATCATAGGAAACAAAAAATCGGAACAAATTAATTTTCGTAGTGTAACTCAGTAATTCGATGAAAGATTAACAAGTAATTTGTTGATTTGAATTGTAATCGTGATATAAAAATAAAGTGATTATCAAAATCGTGAAATAAGAGGCAGAATATTTCTTTTTTTATTCGACGAAAAAAAAAGACTCTTGATTTCTTTCTTTATAACATTTTTTCACATTCGTTCGGGTCAAGTTTTATGAGTGTAGGATCCGACAGCAGAGAGAGAGAGAGAGAGAAAAAAAGTTGTCTCTTTTTCAGTCCAAATATTTTGAACATTTGATCGGTGTATGCATTTTTCTTTAAATGGATGTCAACTTAATGTGGTGCATTGTGAAAATTTGTGATTTAATTGTTCGACTCAGAAAACGCACGTAAATTATAGCACACACACAAAAAGTTTCGAGCGAAAAGAGCAAAGAGAACTATATATATATATATATGTATATAAAAAAGTAAGAAGAAGAGGAAGCAATGAAAAAAGTAAAAGAAACTGTGTGCGCTTTTATATATGTGTTGATCGATTCCGTGCGATGAACGAAAAAAAAATTATCGACTTTGACATGAGAACGAAAAAGGAAGCAACACAGGGAAAAAAAAGTGAATTTTTTTTATTGAGAAAAAACAAATCGCATCAAATTCTGTGGTCATTTTTTTTCCTTCATTTCGAAAGAGAAAAACACACGCAACACCAACAAATGTGATACAATAAAATTGGCCACAGTTGTTGGGGCAAAATTCAAATGCAAAAATTTACTCGTCGTTGTAAAAATCCTCATCGAGGAAGAACCGAGACAATTAACGTAGATTTAAAATCGAACGGATAAAAGAGTCACGATGAAATTAGTCGATTAAATTTGATTGGACAAAAGAAAAAATAGCCGAGTAACGAGGAAAATTGAAAGCCAAATTGAATTTTCAGTACAAAGGGAGAGACAGAGAAAGAACGAGAGCGAAAGAAGAAGAAAAAAGGAATCATACACACGCCATATATTACATACGCTGTACACATGGTAAATCAAACTAACGAACAGTGCGCTGCGGCTGTTAGTGTGTTACAAGTGAGTTGCGATATATTCGCTGTGTGTATAAGTGCGTTTGATTTATTTTTCGTTTAATTTTTATTTTTTGTGTGTGCATATGATTATAATTTGTGGCACCGACACAGGATTTCCAAAGTGACGCGTGAAATGTGGAAAAAAGACACAAGAAATAACGAAACATTCAATAGAAACAACAGAAAACGACGGTGTGTATGCAAATAAAGCGAGTAAAAGAAGAAGAAGAAAAAAAAATACAAAGTATGAAACGTATATATAGATGTGCGATAGAGAAAGAGTGATTTGGTGCACGAACACTAAGCCAAAGCCGATAAAAGCTCAAAAGCAATAGAGAAAAATTTTCATTGCCGTTTTCAAAGTGATTTTCAGCGGTGGAGTTTTTTTTTCTCTCCATTATTGTTGTTGCTTATTGTAATTTTCCGTCGAATGCAATTCGCAACTGGACTGGATTGAATGTGAAACATGGAAAATATGTGCTAGGGAATTTTCAAATCATTATTTGAAATTCTCTTTCGCCATTCTGTCACGGCCGGTGAAACAGAAAGCGAACACACAGAGAGTGAGAGACACTGTGTGAGCTGCATCGAAAAGAAGAAGAATGAAGTTTCTTTTTTTTTCTGTTGATAGTTCGATCATGTGATAGAAGACGTAGATGAAAGTGATTTTATTTTTTGTTTTTGAAAGAAAAAGTCTGTGCTTATTAAATGAACGAAACACGGAAAAAACTGCATTTTATGAACAATGGATGAAAAGGAAAATTTGAATGTAATCTAGACATTTAAGAACCATCAAGCGAAAAATAAAACTCCCTCGCAACAAGACGCATTCATTCGGTAGAAACGGGTAAGAAACATAACAAATTTTTTTTCCTTCACTACATGAAGACATTTTCAGCCTTCTTTTCTTTTCCATCGGATCTCTTGTGTGTGTCGCTTTTTTTTCCTCTTCTGTGTGTTACTCTCGAGACTCTCAAAACGGCTGTTGTACATAATACGCTCACGGCTCTCGATGTACATTTTGCTGTTGTTCTTTCGATACATATATACATATATAATCGTCGTTCAGTACGTGAAAATGCATTATAAGAGTATATTTTAATCTCTTCCTCTTCCTACAACTTGCATCACTCATTATATTTCTTATTCATTTTGACGATATTGTCAGTGTGTGTTCTGCTCTGTGTTCTGTGGTTGTTGAAGCTGCTGCTGCTGCTGCTGCCTTTTCCGTTGCTATTACTTACGACTCAGTTTCGCTGCTGCCTGCCGTTCTTTTACCCATTCTCGACGAAACATTTTTTTCCCCCTATATATACATACTTACACACTTGAAGTATAAGCGTTTCGGTACATTCGCCAAGCTACAAACTAATTTATTCAATATTCATCGTGTTCGTCCATTCTTATGTGAAAGATCGCACATTAGTACTTACACAAATGTTGTGCTCTTGTAATTCTACTACGGATTATTTGGCCCAAATCTGTTAAAAGCTTTTTTTTTGTCTCACATCGCCTCCACTTTACATCTCTGTCGCTGGTTCTTTTGCTATCGTCATTAAACAAAATCGCTCTTTTTCTGCTCTTCTGATCATTTTCCCATTTTTTTTCTCTCTCTCTTTGACGACAAAAACGAAGTAAATGACGCTCAATGCCGCAGTGTATACGGAGAAAATGTGTCCGTTGCGATGAGAAAAAAAATTGGAAAGAAAAATTGAATCAAATCCTTTTTTTCCGAACGCAAACTTATTAATAATGAATCGTACAAGAGACGATCAAGTGGACAAGCAATGAGACCGAGCAGCAACAGAGAAGCGAAACCAAAACGAAATGAAAGAAGAAGAAGAAGAAGAAGCAAAAAAAACAACAGCAAACTAAACTACATGCCAAAAAAGAATCAAATACGTTTTTCACTTTTTTTTGGTCAGCAGTCCAATATACACTGATTTCAATGTCAAAGCGGGCTACGGAACATAATGGAAATTTATCGGAGTTTCATTTTGACATTCCTCTTCACGTTGGATATAGTTTTCGATTTTTTTTTCTTTCTGCTCTCGGTTCTTTTCTGTATGGCTTTGCTTCATATACACATATAGTGTGTCTCTCCGCTACATTTTTTAATTAATATTACTTTGAATTTAACTCGGATTCTCATCATCATCAGCAGCAGCCCTAGCAGCAGCAGCAACAGCAGCAGCAGCAGATTCAACATGCTTCAACTCATACGCATACAATCACGTACATCAATGGCATCCACACGCATACACACCCGGCCACATTGTGTGTATGTGTGTGACTCGGCAGAAGTAAAACGCTCCGCTCTCATACTCTCGTTTCAATCATCGCAGCGTGCGCGAGAGAGCGAATGAGACAAAACGATTTGAAGCGACGGTGAAGCGATGGAAACGCGCTGATATTGAGATGCACGATAGATAGACACAGTTCACAATTCACACACACAATACGCTGAAGTCTCTTGATATGACAGAGTGCTTAATAATCAACTAAATGCCATTATATTACGTACCCGAATCGAAATCGGTGAGCTGAACGCGTTGCTGCTGTTGCTGCTGCTGCTCACTCTCTCCTTCTCTGTGTATCGTCGAATACCCTGTGTGCTGTATGTGCGCGAGTGGGATAGAGAATGAACGCGTAGCGGAGTGAGCGAGTGTACATGTAAAATATCGCTTCATCTTCATATACATCGTAATATACGTATAGGAGATGATACCATGCTACGACACTCGGTAAACGTTGACTTTGATACACAAATTATATATATATATATATATATGTACGTACGTTAGGGTGGACCGAGGTTAAGCGCTTCCCAAATTCAATCCATTCAATTTCTTTGGTTCATTCATTTACAAAGACTGGTTATCGTTGTAGCATCAGTTTTAGGGAAATTCCATTAAAATCGACTTGACTTTCGAACTTTTCGAACAAAAAAAAGCCAATAATCCCCATTTCCTTTTTCGGTAGAAAAAAAAAAAGGCCAATTCGTTTTTATTTCATGTGTGTGTGTATCTTTCAATGATCCTCTTCGGAAATCCCAAAGCAATTAGTGTCGTAAAAGTTTGGTGTGTTGTAAAAAGTCGTCACACCCTAATATAAATCCTAATACGGATGAAAATGCACTGTATACAGCATTGGTCTGGGTGATAGATAGATGCCGTAAAAGGCGCAGAGCCAAAGAGACACACACACACACGCAGAGTCATGTACTGATGGTGTTGGTTTCAAGCTGATGTTATACACACGTATATATTGGCCGTATGTAATGAGGATTGGAGAAGGAGTGAGAGCCACTGAACGACTGGAAGGCTACAGCCGCAAAGTGTTGGAATGAAAGAAAAAATGTGCCATGTATTGGTTGGAATCGGTGTTTCAGAGAGCTCGTTCGCCAGAGTCGGTGGATCTGCGTATGATACATACATATGCTATGCGAGTGAGTGTGTTTATGTGTTTGCACGTATGTTTCTCGCTTGGAGTGTGCTGCCTATGGTGGCAATGCATGTGTGTGTGTGTGTATGTGCAAGTCAATTTCACACTGTATTTTTCCTATACTTGGTGCCGAAGCCGCTTTTTCATCGCGTATTTTCACTAGTTTCAAGTATATATTTTATATGCATGCATTCTCACATATTACCGAGCCATAGCAACAGCGGCTCACAGCAATAGCCATAGCTGAACGAACCGTAACAACACACCGAACACCGAAACTGAAACTGAAACTCAATAGAGACACAAAAAGAGCGAGAGAGAAAGGGAGAATGGGCCCGAATATAATACGTGCCGATACGTTGTATATATTCATATGCGGTGTGTGATGTGATGTGATGTGCTTGTGCATAAAGCGCGAGAGAGAGTATATATATATTCATATAAATCGAACACCGAATCCGAATCCACTTCATGTTTTACATCCTAGATACACTTTTCTTTCATTTCAACTCTTCTATTCACAAGATTACGATTGCTCTCGCTGCACAATTTCTACAGCGTGCTCTAGCTCTCTCTTACTCTCCGTGTGTTCTTCACAATAAAACAAAAACCAAAAAAAAAATTGTGTGTGTTTTTTTTATCATCATCTTCTCTATATATTTCGAGTGTCTTTTGAGAATCAGTTGTGTGTTTCAGTTATACATTCATTTTTTTTGTGTTTCGTCGTATATTTTCTGTGCTGTGTGTATTACTGTTTTTGGTTTTTTTGTTTTTTTTTTCATTTTCAATCGCAGTGTGTGAATAGAACAAAAGAAAACGCGTTTTCATTAACTTTATGACGTAAGCTCAAGCCTTAGTAAATAAAAAAAAGATTGCGATGGGATGGGTACGATCGGTGTTTGTAGACAATTCGTTTTTTGTTCATTTGACGGCGACAATATAGTAATGTACTGTATATGCAGAGAAAAAAAAACTCAAGTGAAGAGTGTCTTTCTGACTCTCGGCGAAAAAGAAAAATATTCTACATACAAACAACGTCAGAACAAAAAGTCAGCCCAGTGTGTGTGTGTGTGCATATGTGCATATGATGAGAAACGGCTTGAGATTCATTGCGAAATAATAATTCTTATTTCTTGTGCGAAACTTTTGTGTTCGCTGCTGTTTTTTTTAATCAAATACCGAGAGTCAGTCACTGTGTATAGCCGACAGAAGCAACATTGTTGCCCCGCGACTCTTCCGTTTACATTGCAAAATGATATATTATTTTTAATTGGCCTTGAAAGGATTCAGTTTCGTATTATGTAAAGTGAAGCAATTTTCAATTAAGAAAGAGAACCGACGACCTGTGTGTATTGTGACTGTTTTGTATTGTACACATATATGATTATATGCCGCTGTTGAGCCCAACCAGATACATACCGAGCAAGAGAAAGAGCCAGAGGAGAGTTTAGTCGGCTTCAACAAAATCCAAATGTAATGAGTGTAATGATGTGACCAAGACGACAGGAGAAGAAATAAACGCCAAGTTGTGTGTGTTGTTGTGTTTCTCCCTTTTCTCTCACTCTCTCCTTCCCTCTTTCCTCGTTCATCATCCCTTTCGTTCGGCGTTGAAACCGTCAGCGACCGAATGGAAGACAGACAGAAAGAAAGACACAGAAAAAGTGACATTTCAAATGAAATTCATTTTCGTGCAGTCAGTGTGTCGGGTGAAATCAGCAGCAGCAGCAGCAGCCGCACCGATAGCAGCAAAGTCAGAGTGACTGAGTGAAAAAGAGCGAGAGACAAACACGTATAAATGAGAAGAAGAGACACAATGAAAAAGAAAACCGTATCGATGACGGCAGTACGTGTGTATATTCATTTTCGTATCTTTACGAAACATATAGTTTGCCTCGGTTTTTTATGGTTTTGTTGTTGACCCACCTCAACAAAGATTAGCATCTAATCAATAAAAGCCAGCGACGATGAGTGAATAAAAAAGAAATACACATAGAGAATTGCTATGCTTCAAAATTGAAATTGAAGCACACCGTCGAAAGAAAGAAAAATAAAATATATCGAAGAGTGAAACGCAAAACGCGCGGAGACATTTAAACGTGTGAACCCTTCAATGTGAGCAATTTTTAAATGTAATTATTTTACACATCGTGTGTTTGTATCAATCGCGTTGTGTGGATCGTTATACTTTTTTTTTGTGTGATGTTGTTGTTGCCGTTCATTTCTCTCGTTGCCGTTGTTTCTCGCTCGTTGTTTGAACACACAATGCATTGCTACATATATAATAGCGTTGTTCATCCAACGCGCATACAGAACAATATAGCACCGAGTCGATTGAACGGCGAGATTCATTTCATTTTTTCGCTTCCTATACACTTTGGTCTTTTTTTATATAGCTTTCGATCAAACGGAAAATGAAACATGAACATAACACCACCAATTTAATACCATATCAATCATTGTCATGAAAACGGCGAATAAGAGAGATAGAATAACACAGAGAAAAAAAAATCAGCCACGAACAACAGCAGAGAAAGAGAAAAAAAATGTGGATAAAGCTCTCGCCTCTTCGTAAGGCTTGCCAGAGAGCGAGAGAGAGATAGAGAGAGAAGAGAACTTAAATATATTGAAGGGAAAAAAACTGAGAACTATTTCGGAGAAGAAGAGAGTCCAAAAAAACGACTGAGTAACAACAAATCAAATGAAATTTAGTTGAGGTGAACGAAGAAAAACGAAATTTTTTCTTGAGGATAATTACACAAATATTTAAACTCCATTAATCATTCATATGCAATTGATATACACTCATAAAAAGCGTACAGTCGGTCGGTCGGTTGCGCGCATACACAAATACCGATGTCGATAGAACGATATAAAAGTAGCAGCGACGGCCGCGGCAGCAAGCAATTCATGTGTGATCGACTCTATATAATTATTCATTCTTTTCATTTCTGTAAATTTAATCAGCTGTTCGGTTGATGAATATATCATTTGTTTCTATGCGCCAAAGTTTTTGAGACGATTTTTTTTCTGTTCGTCGAGAAAGACAGATATATATATATATAAACTTATATATATACGAGTTTTTTTTTTGCTCATTTGCTTGCTTACTTGCTTGCTACCGAATTCAACGCGATTTTTTTTTCCTTCTGTTCGCTCTTCGTTCTGTTGTTTCTTCTGTATTCTCTGTCAGTTTACGAAAAGTTGTTGAAGCGCTTTCAATGACTGCATGACTTATTCAATTCTATTCATTTCTTCTTTTCTTCTCTTGTGTCTATGTGTTTTGCAGATTGACAAAGTTCTGGAATACACTTCGGTTGCGACTTTTATTTTATTCCTTTTTTTTGCTCGAATTGAAATCGACGGAACAAAATGAGATTACTGCGGAAAAATGGAAACAATTTGAGCACAATACTGGAATCGAAGCAGTGAAAGGCGTCACTATTGATCTCAATACTTCGGTGTACGTTTTTTCATCATCGTCGTCGTCGTAGTCGTCGTTATTTTCGTTGTTGTTGTTGTCATATCACGGGTGACAGAGAGAGAGAGAGAGAACGAGCGGCAACACCATTGTGTCAGGCAGGCAACGTGCTGTGTTGTTGTTGCTGTTGCTCCCATCCCTCGAACCACAACAACAGAAACTAACGCAAAAAAAGAAGAAGAAGAAGAAGAAGAAGAAGAAGAAGAAACGAAACAACAACAAAAAAAAACTAGAAGAAAAATTCTACACATTAGCCACATAGCAGTCACGCGGAATCAAGTGTGTGCTTGTGCTTACCGGAGAGAACGGCGTTAGCCACATACATTTTGTTGACTAGTATGGCCAATATCATTTCAATTTCCAGCATGAAAATCACAAATCCGATCAAGGAGATGGTCAGTAAGAGCAAAAAGCGGTTTACCCAGGATGGATTCAACCTAGACTTATCATGTAAGTAAATCGTCGCTTCTCGCAACAACCACAGAGGGTGTGAGAGTAAGAAAGAGAGAAAGAAAAAATGAAGACGAAACATTTTTTTTCCTCTTTCATTTTCTCATTTTCTCTATTGCTTTTCATATTCAAATTGCATATTCCAATCGATTTTTTTTCGTTTATTTTTTTTTTGGCATATTTTCCTGTGCTCTTCTCGTCTCTCATCACTTGTATGCCGTGTATATGCTGTGTCATCGTCATCGTGTCGGTGCCCGCCCTGCCTGTGCCGGTGCCTTGTCTGTCAAACCGAAAATGGATGAACAGACATTCAAGATAATTTAATAGCGATGGGTTTTCCGGCGGCGAGAATGGAAAGTGTTTATAGGAATGATATAGAACAAGTTTACAAATTTTTCGAAATGAAACACGAGAATTGTTATAAAATTTACAATTTGTGTTCCGAACGTGATAAAAACTACGATATTACAAAGTTTCATTCTGTGAGTACTGGCTGTCGACTCGGGCAGCATTTCATTTCGTTTTTTTTTCCTTCTTTCTCTCTCGCTTTTATTTGCTGAATTCTATTTTTATGCATAAAAATGTGTTGGAAATTTAATTTTATTTTCTTTTTTCCTTTTTTATCCATTCCAAAATGGAAAAAAAATGCGAATCAACAAAAAAACAAATTAAAATGTAACGATCGTGTCGTGCGCAGAGAGTTGCAAAATATCCATTTCCGGACCATAATCCTCCGAATATTAAATTAATACAATCCTTTTGTACGGATGTACACAAGTGGCTAAGCGCGGACAAAAAACATGTGGCAGCCGTTCATTGCAAAGCTGGCAAAGGTCGAACCGGTGAGTGTGGAATTGAATTACTAATACAAAATCAATATTGACAAGTAACAGTGTCGGATGTCTGTGCTGAACAAGCAGCCAGTCTGACGTGCAAATGAGGATTACAATTGACAAAAAATCGAAATGCAAAACATTACACAACAAAAATATCTGTCTTTCTCTCTCTCTCTCTTTCTCCTCCTCGTTCTCGTCCAAATATGAATATAAATAGTTTGAATATGTATACTAATAAATTGAGAAAGACAGAGATAGAGAATAAAATATTGATATTGTTGATGAATTAACCAATTTTCCACATATTAATCATGCGTGACTTTATTTTTATTTCCATTGTTCACTGGATATATATATATTTTTTTATCGAATCGACTATATCGTAACAACATCGTACTCGTTGCTCACATTTGTGTTTGCATCGCTGACTTATGGGCGCACTTGCCGATACAGGGACAATGATATGCTGCTACATGCTTTACAATGGTCGATTTAGTAGTGCGAGTGAAGCACTTAGATTTTATGGTGAGAAACGAACACATGATCACAAAGGCGTTACAATTCCATCGCAAAGACGATACGTTGAATATTACGCGCGTTTAATCAACTCACAGAAACCATACGACCCGGTTCCACTGAAGGTATGCCATTCTTGTTGTTGCAAATGCTTAGAATTTTTCCATTGACATCGTTCGTGTGGCGGCGACGGTAGCGGTGTTGTTGCTTGTTTTTTTTTTTTGGTTTCATACGAAATTATTTTATTACAGATATGCGAGATAAAATTATCGCCATTGCCATTCATAAGCAGCCATCAGGGAAGTGTGCATTTGAAAATATCATATGTAGACAATGACGAGGAATGTGTAGTGTATAAAGATGAAGTACCTGATACGAAGAAAAATTCAAATTCAATAGCAGCAGCAGCGGCGGCGGCGGCAACAAATCAACCCGCATCGACCACCAACAATACAGCGTCGGCAGCGACGGCGGCTGCATCATCGCATCCAGATGGCTTGAGTAACGGGAGTAACGGTGGTGTTCACAACAATACCAGCGACTGTATTGTGATCACATTAGATAGTTGTAAAGCGCTTTCCGGCGACATTAAAGTCGAATTCTACATGAAACCGAGAATATCACGGAAAAAGACTCTGTTCAGTTTTTGGTTCAACACATACTTTGTGAGCGAAAGGGAAAATGATGGTAAGTCGATGTGTACGACCAAACAAAGTTTTCGTACAAAAGTTTTTTCTCCCTCTATTTTGGGTGTGTGTGTCTGTATGTGTCGAAACTAATTTCTGGTTGCTTTTGTCTTTTTCATTTTCATGTGATGTGTGTTCTGCTCTCGTTCGTACAGCTGACAACAACAACCCGTTCATCGAATATGGGCTGACGAAAAGTGAAATAGACAACGCGTGCAAAGACATCCACTGTAAAAGTTTTCCGGCAAATTTTGAGGTAATTTCCGCTTGAAGTTTTTTTTTCCACCAAGTCAACCAACTTCGAATACAAATACCGAAAAGCGAAAACCTAACATATAATTCGTTTTTTTTTCTCTCTGTTTCTTGCTTGTTCGATTCGAACACGATGCAATCCACATACACAGGTCCGAGTGAAATTGAAGCCAAGCGAAAGCATCGCCGATGACGACATGCACGATAGCCGTTGCTTGAACATCATGAACAATGATCAACGAACATCGAGTATGAATTCATTTGTCGATGCGCATACGCCGTCCGAAAGTCCCGAAGCATCCAGTTCTGAATCGTCAACAGGTGGTGACTGGGAATCTGGTGAGTTCAAAACAAATGAACTTGTTGTAGAACATTGGCCAAAGCAACGTACATTTAGCAATAGCAAAACGAAACCAACAAAAAAATTAGCTAATTTAAAACATAATAATAACACAACTGCAAACACTGCTATCACTACTTCCACTAGTTCTATACCCGCTAAATTATCACATCAGCATCAATTCAAAGCAAAATCGAATAGCATCAAAATATTCAATAACACCAGTAATCTTAGTAGTAGCAATAATGTCAGTGTCAATGTCAATATCAATAATAATTTACACCTAAGAAAATTGAATACAAAGAAATTGCGTTGGTTGTGGAATAATATGCGTAGCGATCCGAATTTTCATGAGACCATCGTGAAAACGGTAAACATTCAAACGCCATCGGAATTGACTGTTGGCAGTAGCATTGTAGGTAGTGGCAGTTGCATTGTCGGTCGACCGTCAAGCGATAGTTTAGATATCTATTCGGCCATCTGTGATAATCAACTTAGTGTAGGATCACCGTATAAAAGTCCCAGTGACCGTGTCCCGTCAATGCTAAGCGATCAAATGAAAACGCGTTCGAGAACGAACAGTTTTAACACGAAACGATATCACCCGCACTATACCGCGCACAGCAAATACATGCACGCAAACAAAAGATTCGCACCACAAGACCAGGATGTGGCGGCCAGTGCTGAACGCTTCGATCTGGTTGTGGCCAAACCGCTTGAATCTCAATCCATAGGTTTCAATGTGATCGATCCATCGATCACCACAGCAACAGTGACCGCAACAGAAACAACGAAAACAAACACCATAACCAATAGTAAAACTAGTAGTTGTAGTAATGACAGAGAAAATGCTGCTGGCAAGCTAAACAATGATTTGCGACCCGGTACGAGTGGGATGTCAATGTCATCATCATCATTGGATGCCGTCGCCGATGGTCAAGCAATGAAAAAACGAATCGAAAGCGATCGAAAACTTGATTATTTGCTGAAAGAATCGCCGAAACGTCCGGAATCCAATGATTTCGATTTTGAAATTCCGGTGAGCGCCAGTTCCAGTTCCTCCCTATCGATAGCAAACGAACAAAATTCCATATTCAATTTTTCACTCAGCCCAAGTAAAAAGCATTCAAAAATCATAATCGGCTCATCGGACAGCAACAGCACTGACACGAGTGTCAGCAACAGTCCAACCGATGAATGTCCCGAATCGCATTCAACATTATCCAAAATGATACCATTTTTCAAGACGAAACATAAATCCACTTTGCCACCAATGCGATCAGCTTCCACGTCATCGACCACCGATTGCGATGAAGTCGATGGCGGCGGCGGCGGCGGTGGTGGTGGCGTCAAACATGTGACTCCTTCATGGTCGGCTGACGTGGGCCTGTTGCCAACAAGTGATAAACAATCGACATCCGACATTAGTGGATCAAAAACCGATCTCACCGCGAGGTCTTCGACCTCATCCTCTTCATCATCGTCTCTAACTAATATTAAACGTAGTCGCCCACCGTTTTCATTTCGTGAAATACGCAATGAACTGCGATCTGTAATGCGACAAAATCGTAGTAACAGTTCGAAATAGACCCGCGCGCACACACACACACACAAACTACATTTTTCTGTTTCCTTCTTTCGTCTTGTTTCTTTTCTTCTGTCTTCAATGCCTTTTGCCATAAAAAAATATATTTGGACTACACATGCCTATATTTCATCCGATTTTCTATTTCTTCCACTTCTTTTTCCCCATCTAATTTCGTATGCGTGCAGTGTGTCGACTGTATTTTGTGTAGTTAATCATTATCATCATCACCTATGTCGTTTAGATTATATCTTATGCCTTTAAAGAAAAATGTTTTGTCAACGCGAGCAAAAACACACAAGTAACATTTCTATGAAAAAAAAAAAAAAAAATTATACCAACAAATTAGTCTTAGTGTTATGAAATGTCGTTCAAATTTACATAGTTAAAGTGTCGACGTAAAATTTTGAGTTTAAAAACTCGGAAATATGTACATAAAACAGAGGAAAAAGCACCGTTTTTTTCTTATTTAAACTTACGTAGATTTTTATTGATAATAATTTTATACGATTTTTTTTAATTGCAAAAATAATCAATTCACACATAAAATAATTGAAACGAAAGAGAAAGAAACAACAACCGTAAAAATTACTATACACAAATACACACATCATTAGACAAGGCCCATTTGAAAGGGAAAAAAAATGAAAGGAGTACGTTTAAACTAAATCATGGGACATGTTATCGATTACATAAATTTTTATGTCTGTAATAATCGTTCGTCATATTGAATGTAAAGCAGTTTTTTTTTGCTCTTCGCCATTATTAATGTTCATCCATAATAATAATGATGCTATTATATTGAAGAGTCGCCAACGTGTGAGAATTTTTAACTAAATTAATGAAACAATTTTATATTGATTTGCTGAATATTAAATACAAACACACACACACCACGTATAGTTCACCTTTTTTGTCTTCTTCGTTCCCTTCGAATCAGATCTAATGGAATAGATAACGTCGCACATATGACTTTATTGTATGTATTCAAATTACTCTTGACGGCGAAAATACCTTGAATTCACAGTACACTGAGCAGATCATTGTTGAGAAACAGCTCGTCGAATATTTAAGTAGCGTTCAACGAAGAGAGAAAAAAAAAACACTTGCAAAAACAAACAACAACAAAAAAGTACAAAATTTTGGTAGATATTTCTTTGCCAATTGAAAAAAAAAATTGCCACTTTTTTCTAAGTATACAAACGCAAAAAAAATGCGTTGCGATGTTACGCAATGGCCATTGAAACAAATACTTATTAATCAAGGGAAAATCACACACAGTTGATGCTGCTTTTGCCATTAATGCTATCTATCAACAATTTTAGAAAGAATTTCTTTATTTTCAAAGATTTCGTTTGAATTTGATGGCTGAAATCTCGTTTCTTCTACGGAGACGGGACATACAGATAGATACAAAATTCGTTCGGTTACAATTTAAGTACAAGTATAGGTTAGAATCATTGTCATCGAGAAAATGTGAGGAAGAGAAAATTTAATCAAATTTTATGTTTTAGCTTTAGTGTAAGAGAGAAAAACACTTTATATTTTTGTTTAATCTTTAAGCACATACACATACACATACAGAACTCAGACTAATATTTTTTTCTTCTTCTTGTGTTTGTTTGTTGGCTTATTGATTTGAGCTTTATTTTCGACAACGAATCAGAAAAAAACACACACAGTAAACTGTCAAACAAGGCATTCTTATTTTTTTATCGATTATTTTTTTCTTCATTCGTTTGAAACGATCTATAACATTATTCTGTTTTCATTTTAATTGTAGTGTCTCTTAGTAGTAATTTAAGTTGTATGTAGAAAAAGAAATGAGAAGAAAAAAATACAATCAAAATCGTTTATGCAGTTGCACACACGAAATTTACACCTACATCCACACACATACACACACCCCAATCAAACAAAGTTTAGCTTAAGTAAATTTTAGTTTATATGTGAATGAATATAAGAAACGAAAGATAAGAAAAACAAATACAACAAACTTTATAAAATAAAATTTATAATTTTTTTCGAAATTTAACTATATCATTTTATTATTATTTACATTGGTTTCTGTCACTTTTTGTTTCCTGTGTTTTTGATTTTCACCAGCCATTTTATCTTTTATTTTAATTCCTTTTACTTTATTTTTCAAAAAAAAACCGTCGTACCATTCATGATTTCTTTCTTTTGCCTCCCCTATTCGGACTTATCTTTATTTCATATGTTTGGGTTTCGTTCTAAAAAAAATCTCTTGCAAATCATGATTTCTTATCACCGCTAGATTGGTTTTTTTTATTATTGTTTTCTTTTGGTAGAATCGAGATATCATTTGCTAAATGGGTAAATCAAAAGTATTTTCTGGTTTCGTTATTGCTTGGTTTTTCTACTCGGGATGTTTTATTCCCTCTTTTTCTATCTCCACCACAACCACCACCACCCACACACTCAACCAGTAAAAATAGATGTGATCAATTGGCCGTTTTCTGTTTTTTTTTCTTATTCACGCCTCGTACACGCTTTCGATATACAACCTTTTTTTTTGTTCTGCTGTTGTTGCTAAGAATCGATGTGAAAAAATAAACAAATTTTTTTAATCTCACTTTATTTGATTTACTAACAATTTTATAATAAAGTTTTGTATTTAATGTTATAATTACATGCTGCCTGCCTCGTGCAAATGTGATAAACCGCCAAATGATACCAAAAATAAACCACAAAACTCGGCCACATTTTTCATTCGCAACGTAATCGAAAAACTCACAATCTGTTCCACACATCTGTTATCCGGCTGTTGTCGTCACTTTGACTTCGGACCATTCGACACTTGTGACGTTCTCAACACACGTAACAAAATGTGTAAATTAACGCACACGATCCCGTTGGTTTTCATTGCCTGAATTGTGTTATTGCGACAATCAGCTGATGCACAAGAAAGTCCAATAGGTCGTTATCGACTTCTATCAGAGTCGGATATTGACACCGTCTATGCACATGACCCGCACAACAATAGCTTAGTTCAAGCCTGATCATCAAATCGACGAAAACTACAACAACAACAATCGATTCGACAATGTTGAATTGGATGCGAGGCGCGTGTATGTGTATGACTACGATGCCATTGGACGCCGGTTAACTCATTTTGATGCGCCAACTGCAACAACATAAAAATACAAAAGAAAATGAAAACAGAGAAGAAGAAAACCAACCGATTTTGTGTGTAGATGCCATATTTCGCATCATGTAGAGCTTAGTTTATCTATTGCAGTTGTGTATGTTTTTCCCGGAGATGCCATGGCCCTCCCCCTCAAAGCTGCATCCCCGATAATATATATACGAATTTCAACCAAAAACCAAAATGAAAAAAATTTATGAACCATTTGAAACTCCCTAAACGAAACGATACCGTTCTTGATGCCGCACGTGCTGCTATTCGAACCCAACACTAGTCATCATCTTTCGGAGCTATGAAGAAATGAACGAATTTCGGAATCATCAGGAACATGTGATACATCGCAGGACTAAAGTAACACAGGCCGAATGGAGGAAAGATGTGTTGAGCCGTGCCGTGCCGTGCTTTGTATTCATCTACAAACACACTCATTCTGGACAACAAATACAACAACAACAGAACAAGTGAATTAACAAATAAGAGAAGAAAAAACAAATCACAATGCTTTTTAATGTAATTCGATGTGCTTATGTAGAAAACTTTTTTCAAAATATTACAAATGATATTATTAAATAAAAAAATAATACTAAAACAGAAAAGAAAATATATTTGCAAGAGATGTGAACAAAGTAACAACATTAAAAACATAAGTAGAAGAAGAAAAAGAAAAACATAACCAAAATGATGTGTGCTACGGAACCGAGGCGACAATTCGAGAATAGCGTCATCAAAAATCGATTACAGTAGCGAAAAAGTTTTCCATCTAATCGACCGACCGACCATCAAAACTCAATCATCAAACTTGGTGTATGTGGTGGGAGCGGGAGTGAGAGAATGCTAACGCGTTTGCCTGGAAGTAAAAAGAATCCCTTAATTCCAAGAAGAAGTAATGGCGCCATCAATGCAAGCAAAACGATCGACACTTTTTTTATACGTGAATTTTGTCAAAATAAAAAAAAAACATGATGACACAGAAGAAGCGAAACCAAAGAAAAAAAACACGGTGACAATTTTTAATCGAAATTCGATTAAATCGCGATATTCGCTATTGTTATCAGCGTTTCGTGCTACTGCACTCGATTTCGTAAAGTGCATATTGTCGAATTGTAGTCACGCACGGTTTTGTATCGCACTCGTGAACGTGAACCGTCAGTGTAAACAAACCGTACTTGAAACGTGAACAGAGAAAACAAAATAAACATTATGATAGCGAGACGACAAACTAAAAATTAAGAATCATGTAGGATTTTGTGTGCTAAACTACACACACACACACATACATATTATGTGGATATAAAACGAACAAACAAAATATAATAAGCAGAAGTGATGATTATGAATTAAATTTTTTTTGTCAACTAGTTTTGATATAGTAAGCAAACTAAACTCCATTATAATTTGATGTACGTTTTTTTTTTAAATATACAAAGCCAATTCATCATCAACAACAAAAATTTGATTTTAACATGTGAGTTTTTCGCGGAAAAACCGACCGACAAATATGAATACAACCAATTTAAAACAACATAAAACGATAAGTCTTTGACAACAACAACAAATCTGCAATACACGGAAACGATGAAAATGCAAAGATAAAATGCAAACCAAACCAATTCACTTCACGTGACAAACGTCATGCATTATAAATGATACATTTAACGACAAATAAACCAAAATTCTTATTCATTGTGAAACATAACGAAAACTCAGTTCAGGATCGGATAAACACACAAATCTATTCGTAGTTGGTAACGCAAAATTTTTTTTGTCTGTAATAAAAAAAAAAAGAGGAAAAACACACTTGAAAGAAGAATTTCGAAAAAAAAAAATGAATGATTAATTGAAATTGATTTGTATTGAAAGACACAAGTGTGAGTGAATCATATTTTTTTAATGGTCAACCTGACTTTGGTTGCAGGTTGATTTGATAAAACACGATGAAAAAAAGTGAAGAATAAAAAATGAATCGAATTATAATGAGTAGAGGAGGAGTATGATGATGAAATTCAATATTATTATTATATTACATTGAAAGATGAAATGAAACAAACAAACAAAATTTTTATATATAAAAGAAAAAAAAATTAATAGGATTTACAATTTTACTATTATTGATTAGGAACTTAAACAATTTTTTTATGTTTTTCAAACGAAGAAAAAAAAGGAGAAGAACACGAAGAAGTAAAAGGAAGAAATACACAAGGGGAACTTGATCTAACAAGAAGCAAACAAAAGAGAATAGCAACAACCAACACATACCCATTGATCTACAATGACTCAGTATACATACCAATACCAAAATCAATTTGCAGATTTTTCAAGCATATAGACATACACCACATATTTAACAAGAAAGAATAAGAACAAGACAAAAAATTTAAATAAATAATAGCATGCAAACTCGACTCTCGCGCCACTCACAGCTCTCGATCCAATTGCGATAATCAATCAAAATCGCCAATGTCAATTCGAACAACTGTCTCTAAGCTGCGCAAATGAGCCGCTTCAATCTCAATTACGCAGTTAAACGAATGATGAATTGCGCTCAATATTAGTTGCAACGGAGTGTCGTGCGCGCGTGTGTCGTCTCTTTACACCATTTTTTCTTGAATCAGATTTAACAACATGCTTAATAAAAACAAATCGTTTGTTCTTTTTTTTCATTCTATCGCAAAATCTCATTTTCTATAAGTATCAGCCGTGTATCGAGAAGCTCTCTTTTTCTCTC